ATATATATATATATATATATAAAGCACAAAAATTTTTGTGTCTGTGTGTCCATTATCTAACTACTCCTGGGTTGCCTGGCTAATCTCAAACAAACTTTGTTGGATGATAGTTGGGAACAAGAAGCATGTTGATGGGGTGTTCACAACCACTTCCACCTCACATTATTGCTGTTATTGAGCATTTATTATCTTTGACCTAAGTTAACGTTAACTATATTCATAGATAGCACCATGTCCTTACCCAGAAAAACAAACCTATTAAATTTCCTGTAACAACATACACACAGTGTGGGAGGAGGGCACACAAATGTATTACATATCTCAGAGAGTGCACTAGTGCTCTCTAAGGAGGAATGCAATGAAAAATAATGGCCCCTACTATTGCAATAATACATAAACCCAGCTGTAGTTTCTACTGCAACACCCACTATAAGACTGATATGAAGAGCTGTTTTTTTTGTTATACCAACTTACTACTTTGACCTGTGACCTATCAACTTTAGTCCATAAGAAGCTTCTGCAGCCAATGACCATCTATTAATTATTCATGTGAAACACTGTGTAAGGACATTAAGAGCTGAGTGTTGAAAGTGGTTAACAGAAAGCAACCTTACCACAAGTGCTTTGGTTGCTACCTCTTCCTACAGTCACCCTGAGCATCGCATAGTGTATACCATATTTTTTGGAATATAAGACGTATCCTTATTTTGAAGACAAAGTTTTGGGGGAAAAAAAAGCTACAGTCGCATTTGAAAGATTTTTATTGAACAAAAATTTAATTTGATACTTTAAAAAATTAGCATATTGTTCTAAACACAAAAGAGCTCGAAACATCAAAATAAGAAAATATTGTAAATCGAAAAAAGGTTTACTGTTATTTAGTTTGGTTCAAAACCTACAATATCTTCATTGCTTTCACTGTGATTTATTTTTTTATTATTTAGGGAGCATTATACAGTTATGTTTTTAAAAAAAAAGAAAAACTACTATTGTTATAAATAACGCATTTAATTGAACTAAACTATGCATGCCTAATTAAATATATTTACGCATGGCTTGTGTATATCGTA